ACAGTTGAGAAGCAGGTGGCATCTAGCTCCAATACCCCCGTCCTCACCAGGTTGTATTGTCAGCTGACAGCTGTCAGCTGTGTGTGTTACATTCCTGACAGGGGGCCCCTCTAAGCCCCACTGTAACTGCCGGGAATGACAGAGGAGAGTGGGGATTGCCTACCAGAGACAGGGAAAGGAAACAAAATCATGGAGTTTGAATTCGGTGTTCCAGCTTTGTTATCTTCATAATGCAGTTCCCCATGCTCGATTGCAATCCTCTGGAACACTTCTAGAAACCCACTTAGTAGTTCATGGAGTTGCTTGGCTGGTATGGACCTGGAGACAGTTGCATTTCAAGGTTTTAATTTTCCTGCTGTTCAGCAGGAAGCAGAGAGACAGAATCATCATCTGAAAGGCAAATATTCCCTAACACAGGGTGAGCTGGTGCTGGGGCTCGCACTGGAGGTCTGTGCTCCATTTCTTTGGAGGATTAAATCTTTATTATCAGTATTATTGATGAAACTCTGGCTTCCTTTCCATAGATGAAATATTTTTGTCATCATATCCATTATCCCTCACAAGAACCCAATTAGCAGAGATTGTCTCAACAGAGGAGGCTGATTAAATTCACAGATTTATTGCAATACCACTATGGGAGCTGTGGAAAATGAGTTTCACTGCTAAGCTACCTTCGTTAAAAAAGAAAAAAAAAAAGCTGTGAGCCTGCACCTTGAATTATCCATCTGTAACAGATCATAAAATACCCATAACCTTGCATTCAGCTTACCCTTCCCCAGAGAGGCTCAAAATGCTTCTTCCAGGCTCATAGTACCACCCCAGGGGAAACGCAATGGATTCTATGTTCATGGGACACAGGGGAAAGTCTGACCCAGCAGTAGGGTAGAGAAGACAGAGGTCTGCTGCCTGTTGCCGAAAGAAGAAAGTCAAGCTTTTAAAGAATTAGAGTTAGTTTTATTCAGAAGTCTTATGAGGACTATAGACTGAGCCTGGGTATTAATTCAGTTCATAATAGGACAGTATTTCAGTTCATAGTTTACATATGGGTGGTAAATACTCAGTACATGCAAAATTATGGCAAGGTTTGGGTGTGAGAGGACATCTGGGTATAGATTACAGAAGTATAATTACTAACTCGGCTGGACATTATCTTGAGTGTTAAAAAAAAAAAAAAAGCAAAGACTAGGGCCCTTTACTTCTTAAAGAGTATGGTGACTTAGGCAAAAGATGTTGTGGGTATGTGTGCGCTATCCTGCTTTGTCTTCAGAGCACCCCTCCAGAGAGCTGCATGTTGTCAGAGTCAAGGACTTTGTGAAATTACACTAGAAAGCAGAATGAGCAAACATGCATTCTTACACTTGCCATTTTGACCCACACCTGGATACAGATCAAAAAAGACTTTTCCTTTGCAAAGTTTGCAACCAGCTTGGGCAGGGAGTCTGTTTTAGTTGGGTCCCAGAAAAGCTGCTGTTAAGTAGCAATGATATAAATGTCATCTGATTCTCCATAGAAATGAGGACTATACTGATGCTGCAATCAATCTTGTCCCCAAATGTCATGCCCCAAAATTACAAGAATAGCCACGAGCACCACTTTCAATCTCCTAATTTTCTATTCAAGACAGCCCCGTTCCCCCAAAGTCTTAAGTTCTGTTTCTTTAAAGCAGCATTTCCCAAACTATTTTCAGCAGAATCTTAACCACCCAGGGTGCTCTGGAGGAAAAAAAAAAAAAAATTAATGGAGGTTAATTTTGCATAGTGCTCTATGCCCTATACCTCTTGGCTCAAGATCCTTACCAACATATTAAATATAAGCGTTAACTCTCAATGAAAATCTACCTGAGCCAAACACTAAGTACTTTTTAGATGTTTCATGTCGTAAAATCTTCAAAAAAGAATACTCTGAGAAAGATAAAGTAAAATTTATCCCATTTTACACATGTGGAAATTGAGGTTTGCCATGGTTAATTTAGTTGTCCAGTTAAAGGTAAAAAGGCAAAAGGTGAAGCCAGATTGGAAATTTATTCTCATTCCCAATCTGTGCTCTTAATCACTAAGCTTTATCTTCTTCCCATTAACTATACAGACACATTCTTACATTGCTGTTAATGTCTTTTTCATTACTGCTTCTTTACACAAATGAGTCCATTCCTATCTGCAGCAGTTAGTCATCTTTTGTTTATCTTTTAATTTTTTTTTCGCGTCATTCCATGGGTCAGCTCAGTATCATTTTAGGTGGTATCTTCCCTTAATATCAAGCTTTTCCATTCCCATTTTATTTGGCCTTCCTGTAACTGCTTCAAACATGCTTTAGTGGATTTTCATCTCTATCTTCGACAGTTTATGGATAAACAAAGATGTAAGGAAGACAGGATGTGACTGAGTTTATTTACTCTGCCTTTGGCAAAGGAGGCTTTGTTCAGTAAATGAAAGTCAGTAAAAAGTAAAAGTAGGATAAAAAGTGATGCCACGGGTATACAGCTAGCTCTCATGTTAGGTAGGATATGGATTTCGTCCATAATTGAGGTCTTTGTAATTAGTAGATAAATTATTTTATTGGAAGTGAGAAGTAGGATAAGGAGAGGGTGAGAGAGAGTAATTTTGTACCCTTCAGTTTTGTACAAAAGTAATTGTTCACTAAACTTGGGAACCGTGTTGACCACTAATGACCTTATCAAAGCATATACTTGCTTAGGAAATGGGCTTTTTGAGAGTGATAAAGAGAAGGATGTGATTACTAGCAGTGGCCCTGTCTCAGCAGGGGCAGGGCCAAAAGGCAAAGGTGCTAGAAGTGCTATCTGTGGCTCCATTAGATTGCACATGGTTCCTAATCTCCTCCGTCATGCTTGACCCTAATTAAGTCAGCTTCCTTCTACAGCTCTGTGTTCTCTGAGAGCCCACATATGATAAGACTGACCTGCTCTTTCACCCCTTGATCAGTCAGGACTAATTTAATGAGCATCTGCACTGTCCTCAGCATCTCCTTTATATGCAGGTCAAATGCCCTGTGTGGCTTGCATCGCGTTTGAGGAAGTGTTTTGTGGCTGAGACTGTGCTTACTGCTGTCTAGGTGACTGATCTTCCAACTTCCTGATGGTCTTACCAGGTGGAGCCTGTTATGAGTTGTGCTTTAGGAAACAGTCCACTAAGTCTGAGAGAGAAGAAATAACCTGAAGGACCCTCAGCTAGTAGAGCATATGCAGGGACAATGACTTCACTCCTTTAATTCTGAAGCCTGCACCCTTGATGACTATCACATATCCCTGCCTCCCACATTACACCATACGTGAGATGGGAACTCCTCCACTGCCATCCCATTCTTCCTGCAGGGCATTCTGTTTTGGAAATGTAAAAAAAGAAAGAAAAACATTTGACTCATGTATTAAGAGCAAATATTCTTGCTGACTAGGTAAGTGGGACCTCCAGTGCTGCTAGGAAAAAAAAATGAATCAATCAGGAGATCATTAATTTTGGAGGAAACACTAATTATAGGAATATAAATTCTTCTGGGTAAAATTGGCAAGAACACCAGTGTTGCCTGCAGCCCAAACAGACCTTTTCATTTAGGCTGTGATTGAGATATTAGAAAATTCTAATATCTTTTTTTTCTCTAGCTTTGCAAAAGGTACTTGGAACTGGTCTGAAATGTCATTTAATTCTCTCAATGCATACAGTAAGCCACCTTTTAAAACATAGGTAATCTCATAATTAGGAAAATACCCATAAAGGAGGAGATGAGGGGTGGGGACAACTATACCGCCTTTTTTTTTTTTTTTTTTTTTCTGAGACAGGATCTTACTCTGTCACCCAGGCTGGAGTGCACTGGCACAATCATGGCTCACTACAGCCTCTAGCTCCTGGGCTCAAGCAGTCCTCCACTGCAGCCTCCTGAGTAACTGGGATGACAGGCATGCACTAACATTTCCAGCTAATTTTTGTATTTTTTATAGAGAAGGGTTTTACCATGTTACCCAGGCTGGTCTCAAACCCCTGAGCTCAAGTTATCCACCCACCTCAGCCTCCTAGAGTGCTGAGACTACAGGCTTTGAGCCACTGCACCTGGACTGTACTGCTTTCTTAAATACTTTAAAACTTAAGCAGAAGCTCTTAAGCAACAAAAAGAAATGAACTATTGAGCCACACAAAGACATGGAAGAAAGTTCAGTGCATATTGCTATGTGAAAGACATTCATCTGAAAAGGCTACATACTATATGACTCCCAACTACCTCACATTCTGAAAAAGGCAAAACTGGAGACAGTAAAAAAAATCAGTGGTTCCCTGTGGGGTGGGAGAGAGGGATGAATAGGAGGAGCACAGGAGATTTTTAGGGCAGTGATTATAGTATAATGGGGAATACAGGTTATTATATATTTGACAAAACCCATAGAATGTAGAAGCAAAGAGTAAAGCCTAATATCAACTGTGAACTTTAGTTAATAACCTATGTATGACTGTTGGCTCATCAGTTGAAACAAATGTATGGAAACAGAGATGGAAGGGGTGAAAGAGAGATGGGAAGCCTCTGTACTGTCCACTCAATTTTTCTCTAAACCTATAACTGCTCAAATAATAAAATTTTTAATTAAAAAAATTAAAGCAAAAGAGAAGCACATTATTTCTCAACAGCATAGCCTCTCTGTAGACGATGTTCTCCTTGTTGAGGGGGAAAGCTTCTCTCAACACATTATAACAACTCATTGCTCCGACTGTGACAACCAAGGAATATATGAAAGTCCAACTTAAACATCTCAGTGGGCTGGAAAGACAAAGTAGACTTTGTGTCACAATAGAATTCATCCCTTGGAACGTGAAGATGGCAAGAGATAAAACAATACTCTTTATCACCGGCAGATTAACCGGCAAGGACTTGTTCTTTCTGTTTATCCTATAGGCTCCAAAAGACAATGAGCCTTTTGTCTCTACACCTGTTGCAGGGAAGGAGCCCAGGACAGAGGTGTGGTGGGGTTTATGTGAGGCCACGCAGTTCAGGTTTCTTACCTGCGTCTCTGATGGTACACCCTGTTTCATAACGAAACTTGAAGACTGAGCCCTCAGCATTCGAAGGGAAAGAAGCAGGTCCAGGTGCTACTTGAGGAGAAGGTGAACATATACAAATCCTTGTTGGAGAGAAATATAGCAAAATTGTGGCATGTTTTGGCTTTCAGCTAGACATGAGTTTCTTGGGAGTCTTGCTCTTTCCTTATCCTCAGCTTTTCACTCAGCACACAGTAAAGGCTGGACAGAGGCTTGCTGAATGAATGAACCTTGAGGACTTCGCTGTAAGAAAAAGAACACAGAAAGGTTATTTGTTAAAATCAACACCAGATTTATCCAGCTGTTTTGCTAGAGTTTCCAGATACCCATTTTTTCGGTGGCGCTGTGTGTGTTGATGGCTTCCTTCATTCTCAACCCTTGCTTGTAATGGGATCTGTTGGTTTTGACTGGCTTCTTTAGAAACAAAACCTCCAATTTTCTTTGGGGCAACCAGCCTTTCCCCTATTCTTAATATGAGAAGTCAGAACTTAATAATTCCTTTTAAAACTTCCTTTTTTTCCCTGGAGAGCTGCTGGATTTGCATCCGTTCAGCTATATCATACCAAGGAGATGGACTGTGGCCTCAGCTCAGCCACTCAGAGCACTGTTTCCCTTTGCTCTCAGTAGGATCAGAGAAGGACACATAGCTCAAGTTGGACCCATGAGAATTCCCCCTGAGATTTTGCTGGAATGACGTGAAGTGTTCTTTTTTGGCTGGGATTAATAAATTGGTAAAATACAATCCTAGAGTTCTGAAACTGGCCGAGTCTAAAGTCAGCACATTTCCTGGGCCCTTGAACAACATGAGCCACTAAATTCCTAGGACTTCAATTACCTTACAAGAAATTGTAATTTACCAATGTATCTATTTATTCTCCCTTATATTGAAATTCTGAGTTTCCACTGTTCTTTTACATGCTAATGTCCTTCATATTAGAATTTAGTAGGAAAATTCTAACTGGAGATAGTCTGTCAAGAGTCTCAGCCACTTCCTGGTCTAATCACACCTCCAAATGGACAGAGAACATCTGAAACAGAGAGCCCTAGAAATACCACTTCCAAATTCTAATAAAAGGCAGAATTCTTTGCCAAACACCTCATTACACCATGAATTCAGAAACATTTTGTGGCTTAGACGGAGTTGGCATGGGGTAGAGTCCTGCTGAATAGATTGAGACATCAGAGAATAGGTCCTTGGGCCATGCCTGGCACATGCTCTGAGGACACGGCCCGATGCCATGGCTCCCCCTCAGTCTCAATGCTCCATTAACACCTGGAGTGAAACTCAGGAGCTAGGGCAGCTTGCCCTGGAAAAATAACCTCAGCATTAATGGATGGGTTTGAAAGATGAAGAGCAATGTTCTACATCTCTTGATCCCACTCTAGCCATGAAATCTAGTAAGAACTAACACCTATTATGTGTCAGTGGACCAAACAAGGTACTGAGTTCTTTTATGGCCTCAGCCCCTCTAACCCCCATCACAACCCTGTGTGGTAGGTCAAATGAGGCCTAGAAAATTTACAGAGATTGCCCTGGATCACTCAGCAGGACTCAGACCAAGTAGCGGGACCCAGGTGCTCAATCACATTATTGACTGTTCTTTGTAGCAAAGAATTAAAAACAGTGCCTGGATCATGGTTTTAGAATTGTGAAAATTAATGTTACAGCTGGGAAGAAGCCTCAACATCACTTTGCATGATGGGAAAGCTGAGGGACAGGGAATGACATGACTTCCCCCAAGTCACACAGCAAGTTAAAGTACTGGGTGATAAAATCCAGTCCTGGTCTCCCAATTCTTTCTCTGCACACACCCCATTGTGTTAGGATATATGCATACCACACCACATACCCAGTTATTCAACAGGCATCCCCAGTAAAGATGCACAGGTGTTAAAGTTCTAAAATATTTCCAGACCAGTTAGCAAACTGCACTGTCCTGAGACTATCACCCTCTCCCCTCAGGATTCCTGACTTCTCCACAATTTAACAATTAAAGGGTAATGTTTAGCATTGCCGGCGGCCCCTAGGACCCTGCTCCTTCCCAATGGCCAGCATCGACTCTGAGTAGTCAACACTTCTGCTGTTTCGGTTAAGTATTTTTAATATGAGTCCTTTATTAGTTCAGAAGCCAGCACAGATTATGGGAATGTCATGGGTGAATTGCAGGCCACATCTCAGTCATTAACATTGTTATCTCAAATACGAGAGGTAGACAAAGGCTGATCATGCTAACTGTGCCCAAGACAACAGGGGAAGGCCAGAGTGGGGAAAGTTCATCTCTAACATTCAGGGACTCTGAAGGCCTTTCCACCCTTTTCCAGGCAGCATTCAAAGTTGTCAGGTTAAAAGATACCCTCCTTGCGGAGAGGAAAATTTCAGGGTGTCTGAATTGTCTATGGGAGGCAAGATAGGTCTCATCTCTCTCACCTTCCTTGTTTCTTTATGGATGGCAGAACCATCCCTCAAGTCACGGGAACTAAACTGACAAGTGGAAAATACAAGGCAGGAAAGCTTGCAAGCCACAGGGACATGCAGGGCAAGGTTTCTTTCAAAGTCAGTGGGAAGTAGAAACACATATCAACTCTGCCAGTGACTAGAGACCAAAAAGGACCAGCTGCAGAGATGGAGAAATGAATTGCTTGTGGAAGAGAGGCCCTAATGCATAAGCTGCCCATTGTGAGTCAAGTGTGCTCTGACAGCCAATCTGAAACCAACTAGAGCCTAATGGTTTGCCTTCCTAAGGTGATAGTATATTGGTCAGTTATCACACTGCTATAAAGAACTATCTGAGACTGGGCAATTTATGAAGAAAGAGGTTTTATTTTTTAAATTTATTTGACTTTAGGTTCTGGGGTATACGTGCAGGTCATGCAGGGTTGTTGCATAGGTGCACACATAACTGGGTGGTTTGCTGCCTCTATTCCCCCTTCATCTATATCCAGCATTTCTCCTCATTTATCCTTCCCCACCCTCCCCAACCCCTGCTGTCCTTCCCCTAGCCCACCCCCCACTGCCCCCAGTGTGTGAAGAAAGAGGTTTAATTGACTCACAGTACTGCAGACTGAACAGGAAGCATGACTGGGAGGTCTTAGGAAACTTACAAACATGGCTGAGGGCAAAGGGGAAGGAAATGCATCTTACCATCTTACCATAGTGGCAGGAGAGAGAGTGAAGAGGGAAGTGTCACATACTTATAAACCATCAGATTTTGTGGGAACTCATTATCATGAGAACAGTGAAGGAGAAATCCACCCCCAGGATCCAATCACCTCCCGCCAGGTACCTCCCCAAACACTGAGAATTACAATTCAGCATGAGATTGGGGTGGAGACACAGAGCCAAACCACATCAGACAGTTTGCAGAGGCCTGACTCAGGCCATTTCAGTATGTGTTCCCATTACACCACGCCTCACCAGGGGAGATGAATTTACCAGGTTTTATAGATCACCAACTAATCCTCAAATATGAACCAATATTTGTATACCCACCATCAACAACATTCTTTTATGAACCAGAAATCTATTTCCATGGTAGTCACACTTTCTTGTACAATGTTTAAAGCAAGAGATATTTAATGTGCAATGGTCAAATGCAAATATAGGAAAAGCCAGAAAACTCACCTACATCATCTCCATCTGGTGATCTCCTTCTCATTCTCTAGATGTTAGCTTGCATTCCACTCCCTGTTCCAGCCCCTCCTTCCAGACTAAGTGAGCATTCCCTCAGCACATCGTGGCTTCTCTTATAGGTTTTATTACATTTGTGATTATTTGGTTAATGCCTGGTTCTCCATCTAGTCCCATAATACCCATGAGGGCTGAGGCTCCATCACTCTTACTTATAGCCTCTGTGCCTAGCATAGTGTTTTGTTTCAGAGTGATTATTTCCTGAGTAATCAGTGAACTCTGCAAGATTTTAGCATCATGCCCTGGCTGTTTATGGAATAGACCTCTTCACTATCATTAGAATATATGGAAAAGGCACTTGAAAAAGCCAAAAGTCAACTATACATACACATCAAGTTCTTCTGCTTTACCAATTCACAGAATACTCTTTTCCAGTTTGTCTTGTCTTCTCTTCCTATTTCTTAAGCCCATTCTCTCCTATACCATGATTTAAAACCTCTATTCTATGTTATAGAGAGACTAGTTATTGTAATAGGTATATACAGGTAACTGATTTTTTCTCAGACTGGAGTCCTCACACCATTGGAGTCTGGCTTACCTTTCCTTAGGGTTCTATGAGTTCCCTATGACATTTGTAAAGAGATATAAGCATATACTGAATCATGCAGAAGGACATCCTAAAATTGAATATAGCCACCTGATTTCAAAATGCATGACAGTTTTTAAACATAATGCAAATTCTCTCCTACCTCTCCACTCAAAAGGTGGGGTCTAATTTCCCGTCCCTTGAATGCAGGCAGGACTTCCTGATTTGCTTCTAATGAATAGAATGAGGCAGACATGGTGTTGCATAACTTCCAAGACCAGATTAGAAGTAGTGACAGGGTTTCTACCTGGTTTTCCCAGGGGCCATGCACCTGGGGAGCCCTGAGCCACTATATAAGAAATCTATATTTCCTGAAGCAGCTGTGCTGCACAGACCACCAGGACAGACTGCATAGAGGCAGCCAGAGGAGCTCCAGCTGTCCAAATCTTCCCACCCCAGCTTCCAGGCATGTGAGTGATAAGGACTTAGGTAACTTCGGCTTCACCTGCCATCTGACCCTTACTTAATGAAAGACCCCAAGCCAGAACCACCCAGCTAAATCACTCCTGGATTCCTGATCCAACGAAACCATGAAAGAGAACAAATGATTATTGCTGTCTTAAGCCCCTGAGTATTGTGGTGTTACAAAGCAATGGATGATGTTACACAGCAATGGATATGGTGATGTCTTTATTTGCATTTAGGTTTATGATTGCATTGGAACTACATTGTATTTATTACAGGATAATGAGAATAAAATCAAGGAAGACTTAATATATGTATGTCAAGAAAGGGAAAAACTTTTCCAGTACTTTAAATAGAAAAACGTGATAGGAAAATGGTTCATCACACCCAACTTGGTGTTTCAGATGGGCTGAACTCAAGTGAATCTTTTTTTTTTCCTAAGTGAGCATCTTTATTTTTAAAAATTGATACATGATATTTGTACGTTTATGATCTACAAGTGATATTTTGTTATAGCCATATAGTGTATAATGATCAGATCAGGATATTTAGCAGTATC